TGGGGGGGGGGGGGGGGGCGTTTCCTGACACAGTTGAGTATGGGGTCCAGGGTGTTGGGAAGCTTGTTTTGGCCTGCTAGTGGGAAGGGTTGGGGCCCAGCTGGTGCCAGGGTAGGGTCTGGCCTGTTGTGGGCAGGCTGGGTCTTCAGGCTGTGGGATTGTGGCTTTCTTACGTCTGGTGCCTGCCCCCTGGTGGGTGAGACTCGTCCAATGGCTAGAGCAGCCTTCTGGGAGGGCAGGGCTGGTGCCTGCACATTGGTGGGTGGAGCTGTGTCCTAGCCCTCCGGTGGGCAGGGCCATGTTCAGAGGCAGCTGCGGGCTCAGGAAGTTTTAGGCAGCCTGTCTGCTGATAGGTGGGGTTGTGTCCCCATCCAATTAGTTGTTTTGCCTGAGGCATCCCAGCACTGGTGCCTACAGGCCGTTGGATGGGCCAGGTCTTGGTGCTAATGAGCTAGAGGGAGGGTTCCACAATGGTGCCTGGCAGCACCATTGTCCACGCAGTAGAAGGAGCTCCCAAGATTGGCTGCTGCCAGTGTCTGTATCCCCAGGGTGAGCCACAGCTCCCCCCCCCACCTCCCTCCAAGGAGACTCTCCTAGACCAGTAGGTAGGACTGGCTCAGGCTCCTATCAAATTACTGCTTTTGCCCTGGGTTCTAGAACATGTCAGATTTTGTGTGCACCTTTTAAGAGCCAGGTCTCTGTTTCCCCCAGTCCTTTGAGACTTCCAAAGTTAAGCCCTGCTGACCTTCAAAGCCAAATGCTCTGGGGGCTTGTCTTCTTGGTGCTTGACTCCTGGGCTGCAGAGCCCGATGTGGGGCTTAGAACTCTCACTCCTGTGGGAGAACCTCTGCAATATAATGATTCTCCAGTTTGTGGGTTGCCCACCCCATGGTATGGGACATGATTATATTGAGAGTCTGCCTCTCCTACCCATCTTGTTGTGGTTCCTCCTTTAATTGTAGAAGATCTTTTTCTGGTAGATTCTGGTCTTTTTCATTGATGGTTGTTCTGCAAATAGTTGTGATTTTGGTGTGCTTGTGAGAGGAGGTAAGCTCAGTGTCTTTCTACTCTGCTGTCTTGGCCAGTCTCTCCTCCCTTTCTCTGTCAATTTTTTCTTTTCAGAGAAACATCTCTTACTTTCATTGATCCTTGTAAATTAGTTTTTTTATGCACAGTATTTGGTGTGAAATAACAAATTATGAGACATGGAGAGAAACAAAGAAATGTGACCCATGGTCAGGAGAAGAGCTAAGAGAAACAGTCAGTGATGGTCCAGATGTTGAACATTTGAAATGGATGAACAGTTAGAAAATTTTAGCAGGAAGATGGAAGACTATAAAAAGACTGAACTGGGAATGCTAGAAGTGAAAGTATGAATCAGACATTAAGTATTCATTTGATGGGCCTAATAGCAGACCGGACATAGTTGGCAAACCCCAAGCAGAATAAGTACAAAGCTGAGGAACATTGCTAACTTAATGCTATTAAACCTTCCAATTCATGAACATGGGATGTGTTTCAGTTTATTCAAGCCTTCTTTAATTTCTCACAACAGTGTTTAGCGCAAGTTTTCAATATACAATGTCAGGCACTTCTTTAGTTAAATGTATTCCTAAGTTGTTTTTTGTTTTGTTTTGTTTTGTTCTTTGGCTGTGTTGGGTCTTTGTTGCTGCCCGCAGGCTTTCACTAGTTGTGGTGTGCAAGCTTCTCATTGCAGTGGCTTCTCTTGTTGTGAGGCACAGGCTCTAGGCGTGTGAGCTTTGGTAGTTGTGGTACACGGGCTCAGTAGTTGCTGCATGCGGGCCCTAGAGCACACATGCTTCAGTAGTTGTGACGCATGGGCTCAGTAGTTGCGGTGTGCGGGCTCTAGGGTGTGCGGGCTTCAGTAATTGTGGCGCGTGGGGCCAGTAGTTGGGGCTCTCGGGCTCTAGAGCACAGGTTCATTAGATGTGGCTAACAGGCTTAGTTGCTCCACATCATGTGGGATCTTTCAGGACCAGGGATGTGGCAGGTGGATTCGTAAGCACTGCACCACCAGGGAAGTCCCCTAAGTATTTTTTTTTTTTGCTGTTACAAATGAGATTGTTTTCTTAATTTCATACAGTTTATTTTTATATGAATATATTGTATATTTGTATATTGTATCTTGCAACCTGGCTGAATTCCTTTATTAGTTCTAATAGTTTTTTTGTCTCTTTTTTAGAATTTTCAATATACAAGATTATGTCATCTGTAAATAGAAGTTGTTTCATTTCTTCCTTTCCAGTCAGCGTGCCTTTTATTTATTTTCCTTGCTAAACGCCTTGGCTAAAATCTATAATATAATGTAGTGTAGATATGGTTGTGTGTTAACTCTTCTCTAAATGTTTGCTGTTTTTATTAAATGGTAATAGGGTATAAACTATTTTTATATCCATCAATGTCGAAGAATGGTGATTTCATGAAATTGTATCATCATAATTGTAAGACAGTGATTGGGACTGTTTTGATCTACAAAACGTGTTATCTTTTTTTTTTTTTTTTTTTGTGGTACACGGGCCTCTCACTGTTGCAGCCTCTCCCGTTGCGGAGCACAGGCTCCGGATGTGCAGGCTCAGCGGCCATGGCTCACGGGCCTAGCCGTTCCACGGCATGTGGGATCTTCCCGGACCGTGTTTGTTGCTGCACGCAGGCTTTCACTAGTTGTGGTGGTGTGCAAGCTTCTCATTGCAGTGGCTTCTCTTGTTGTGAAGCACAGGCTCTAGGCGCATGAGCTTTGGTAGTTGTGGCACATGGGCTCAGTAGTTGCTGCATGCGGGCCCTAGAGCACACAGGCTTCAGTAGTTGTGACGCATGGGCTCAGTAGTTGCGGTGTGCGGGCTCTAGGGTGTGCGGGCTTCAGAAATTGTGGCGCGTGGGGCCAGTAGTTGCGGCTCTCGGGCTTTAGAGCACAGGTTCAGTAGATGTGGCTAACGGGCTTAGTTGCTCCACAGCATGTGGGATCTTTCAGGACCAAGGATCGAACTCATTGTCCCCTGTATTGGCAGGTGGATTCGTAAGCACTGCGCCACCAGGGAAGCCCCCTTCTTTTTTTTGATTGAGGAACATTTTAATAATATCCCCCTTTTTTTTCTGTAGGTTTTCTCAAATAATGACGAAGGCCTTATTAACAAAAAGTTACCCAAAGAACTTCTTTTGAGGTAAGTGTAGATAAACTTTAAAGATTTCAGATATGATTCAGTCATCAAGTTCCAAGACAATCTTCTTTCTCACTATGAGTCCATAGCTTAGAAAAACAGACAGAATTAGCCTAACTGACTTTTTGTTTTTGTTTTATAGAATGCTGTTCAGCTTGTTGTTAAATTTTACTTGGTCTAATCCAGAATGTTCTAAGTATGTACGTAGCATTGGTCTGGATTCTTTTTGTAATGTGGTAAGTATTGTAATAATCCTCAGTAGGTGCCACTGTTTGTGTATTAGTAGGTTATCTCAATGTAGTCAGTAACATGAGGAGAGATTATTAAGGTTGTGAGCTCCTGAAGTCATAGACATTTAGATGTTTTTCTGATCAGTAATTACACTATATGTTCTTACTGAGCACTTAAAATGCTATCAGCCCAAATATTGATGTTTTTATTCACTTTATGAGAATTATATGCTAAGTGACACTACTATAGAACAGGCTTTTTGTGCTTTATTTTTAGCATTACTGAATATACAGTTAATGGTACTTTGCTTGTCGTTTTGGGAAGTAAAGCTATCAGCCAACATTTGTTGAACCTAAGGCACTGCAGTTTCCTTTAGTACTCTGCAAGCATCAAGCAAATCTTATTTAATTTTGGATGTTATATTTTAATTGTTAACAAACAATTAATACATGTACACATGGTAATCTTTGAGTGGCATTTCCCAAACTCTTCATATCACTGATACAACACAAAACAAAACAAAAAAACAGGTTTTGTGATCAAATAAGTATGGGAAAAACTGGGTTAACAAAACCAGTTTCTTTACCCCATAACCTCTCAGAGCCCTGATAGGCTAATATGCATGGTGATGCTCCCAGATGAATAGTTGTGGCATTTCAGATTTACTGACCATGGAACGCTTTTAATATTCCTTGGAAAATTTTTTGGGAAATGCTGATATATAGTAAGAGATTGAGCAGCTTACTCTGTTCCCTGGCTGTGCTAAATCTCATTTTAACATTTAGGGGATGAGTATGAATGTGTGTTTTGTTTACATGTTGGAGTCCATCACAGAGTTGCTCTATAAATGCCATGGATTGCTCACCTTTTCCACCTTGTATGTTGGACTTTTGTTCTTGAGTCAGTAATGGGGTGAAGGCTTAGGGTCTTTGTGGTGGTGATCACATTTTAGGGGCTTCAGGATGGCATTTCATTAGTCATCAGGTGTTGTTTGACACTGTTGCCGTGAGCTCATTCTACTCAGTTAATAAAGAAGAAAATTAATTCATGGCAGGATCACATGAAAAATACAGCAGTTATGTTTTATTTCAACAAAATAAATATTTGTTTAGTTAAGAGAGAAAATTCTTTGGCATTTTAGACCGTTTTAAAGTTAAGAAAGTGGTAACAAGGAAGGAATGATATGTTTATCACATAAACCCAGAGGGTCTTAATCAAGCACCGTAAGCTGTTAGAACCAGCGTGGTTAGGGTGGGCTGGCTGTTACTATGCAGCGGTCGGCGATGCCATCCACACCAGACCACAGAGTGAGTGATGTTTCCCAGAATTGTGCAATGTTTCATTCTTGGTCTGAACATTTTTCTAGCACAGACATCAACCTGTAATGTGAATATGTCATTTTTACCCTGGGGACTCATAACCAGCTTCAGCCCGACCCACGTTAGTCATTTAACACTGGAGTGTGGTTAAACTCCACCCTTCTCCTGAATACTGCTGCTGTTTTGACTCAAGGCTGCTAACTTAATATTCTTTCCCTTTTGGTAGGGTTAGCTTTTATACTGTACTCAGCCATGGTACTGTTTCTACCTACTGACCGAAAAGGGCCGGTGGGGGGCGGGGCGGGTGTTGGAATTACGTCACTTTCCGTGCTAGTGTGATTTCTGAACGGCCGTTTTAGAAATATTAGTTCTTTTAAACATCCATGATGGACCCAGCTTTCAAAAATCCTGGAGTTATAGTTTTTGAATTATGCTAAGGCTCATACATAGATCATTTTAAGAAAAGAATTGTCATTTGGGAGCAAATGTTCATAGATTTGCATTCCCACTTCTGTTCTAATTTTGGAGTCTGTAAAGGGAATTTAAATTTTAAAGTACTGCCACAGCAGGTCTTCTCTGACTCTTCAGTCTCAAAACTAACTCTAGCCAGATATTAATTTTTGTTGATCTTTAAATCATTTCTGCCATTTTACTCTCAGACTTTCTATTCTTAATAGTAGCAGCTCTCCCCTTTCCCGGCTAAACTTTTTAAGCAAAATTTTGAAGAAGGGTTTGAGCCAGGTTACCAAAGCAGACATCTTCATCGTTCGTTAATTCCACAACAAAGTGAGTGAGTGCTACAAATTCCCCACCTCATGGAGCTTAAGTGTTGATTGGTTTTGCTAAGATAAATGGTGTCTTCATACTTTCAGTCTGTCTTAGGCTTACATTTTTACTTCATATAGTAGACTTCTTTGTGACAGAGCAGACTGTTGTTCCTGTTCTCGTTGAATTCCTATTTACTTTCAGTCTTACTTCATCAATAGGTGTGAATTCCTTGAGTTTATGATAATCTTATTTGCTTGCAGCCAAGGTCATTTTCTCTTCTGCCATTTTTTACTGCATCGGTTACCACCCTCTTAAATTCTCTGGTAGCTTCCATTACTGATCATATCAAGTGAAGCTTCAGCTTACCCTCTGGAACCGTTAACAAACCTGGAACTATGTGATTTTTTAATTTTAATTTTTTAATGTTTGTTTGTTTATTTATTTATTTATTTTGGCTGATCCTGGTCGTAGTTGCGGCACTCGGGATCTTCGTTGCGGCATGCGGGATCTTTTAGTTGCAGCATGCTGACTTCTTAGTTGTGGCATGCATGCGGGATCTAGTTCCCCAAACAGGGATCGAACCCAGGCCCCCTGCATTGGGAGCCTGGAGTCTTATCCACTGGACCACCAGGGAAGTACTTGGAACTATGCACTTTTCATCTCTATATCACTTTGAATCCACTCAGAAAAAATCTGAGTTTTTTTATCTGATCATCTTATTGCTAGTTTTAAGACTACCCGATATTATTAATTCACAGGTCCCTTCTGCTACCCATTTTTAGTTTGTTACTTAACAAGCTTTTACATTTGCTTTTTCTATCCAGCTTTCACTTATAAATTAAAGATATTCGAGTTCTCCCTCTCTACCTTTCACTCTCACACAGTTGAACAAATAGCTTGTAATTTTACTGTTCCTGGGGAGTCAGTTATATAATGCTTATAACAATGGGAATATATAGTTTGTTGTAATCTCTATATCTGTTAGTGAGTTGGGTTCTCCTTGCATGTATTTGTCCTCGTTGTTATTGTCTGTATTACTTTTGGAGCCAAACTTGCTTGAGATTTCAGCTCTCCCCATTTACTAGTTGTGTGACCTTAAAGTGACTTCACTCTCTGGGCCATAATTTCCCATATCTGTAATAGTAATAGTTCTTACCTTAGGGGGTTGTTGGCTGGCTCTGAGTACCTGGCATTTAATAAATGTTAAGTAAATGTTCTCTCTTATTATTATTTTTAAAAAATATTTATTATTTATTTATTTGACTGCATCAGGTCTTAGTTGCAGCATGTGGACTCTTTCATTGTGGCACGCGGGCTTCTCTCTAGTGGCGGCACATGGGCTCTCTAGTTGTGGCACGGGCTCTAGAGTGCGCAGGCTCAGTAGTTGCAGTGTGCGGGCTCATTAGTTGCAGCACATGGGCTTAGTTGCCCTGCAGCATGTGGGATCTTAGTTCCCCAACCAGGGATCGAACATGCGTCCCCTGCATTGGAAGGTGGATTCTTAACCACTGGACCACCAGGGAAGTCCCTCTTATTATTATTAATTAATATCAATTTTGGATCTCTGAATACTTAATAAATACTGTTGACAGTGCAGTTGGTTTTAATACAAACAACTGAAAAAAGCAAGCTGTCCTGATATGGATCTTAACATATGCTACTGCTAACAGTCTCAGTAAAATACCTGATTATTAAGTAAGTTAATGTAGCCTACACTATTCAGTCTCATCAGCCTACACTAATTCAGTCTCAATGGAAATTGCATACTACCATCTGACATTAAACTGACAACTACTGGAGCTTGAGCAGAATAGTGGTGGTATTATGACAACTGTTAATTATTTTGTATTATAAAAAAGGCAGTCTCTTAGAAGGAACCATTCCTCTTTCGAGAAAAGTCTTATATTAGCAAATATTGGCTCACAACTCTGATTATAAATTTTAATATTAATTTGTTTGACCTTAAGTTTTTACTTCTGTTACAGTTGCTCTCAGGCGCTAATGAAATGAAAATGCATGTAAACTTCGTAGGAATAGGGAGTGCTACATGCAGTAAATATTTTCAAACGTTCTGAGAAGACATGGCTCTTGTTAGTAATAAATAATAAAGAAACCTCTTATTAGACATATTTTTAAAAACTAACTCACCGTTATCTGTATAATTTTATTTCCTTTTAAAATGCATGTGGGGACTTCCCCAGCAGTCCAGTGGTTAAGACTCCGAGCTTCCAATGCAAGGGGTGCGGTTTCGATCCCTGGTTGGGGAACTAAGATCCCACATGCCGTGCGGCATGTCCAAAAAATAAAAAGTAAAAAAAAGTATGTGGATCCATGACAAAATTAAATCCTGATGATATTTGTTGGCTTGATGAAGGAAGGTTTGATTGCCTCAAACAGGAGAGGTGAGGCTAATCATTTCGGGCAAATGGAATCAACTACATAATTACCTATAATTTGGCAGTTTTACTAGTTTGCTAGGGAAAATTATAAAATGAAGTAAAATTACAAGCTATTTGTTGAACTGTGTGAGAGTGAAGGATAGAGAGGGAGAACTCGAATATCTTTTAGAAGTGAAAGCAGGGTAGAAAAGGCAAATGTAAAACTTGTTAAGTACAAACTAGAAATGGGTAACAGAAGGGATCTGTGAATTAATAATATTGGGTAGTCTTAAAACTAGCAATAAGA